TTCCTTTCCCTTCCATCTTTTTTTCGGTTTCCCCTTTCTATCTCCTCTTTTCCCCTTCGGTCCTCCTCCTTCCCTCACCCTTTCTTTTTCTCTTCCCTCTCTCCTCGCCTTCTCCCTTCACATTTCCACCCCTCTCCCCTTCCCACTTCCTTTCCTCCTTTTTCCCTCCCCCATTCTTTCTTTACCGTCCTCCCCTCCCTCCCCCTTTCAGCCTCCCTATCTCTTCTCCCTTCCTCCCTTTCCCTCTCCCTATCTCTCTCCCTCCTCCTCCCTTCCTTCCTTCCTCCTATCTCTCTTCTCCTCCTCCCCTTCCTTCCCTCCCTATCTCTCTTCCATCCTCTTCCTCCCCCCCTTCTTTTTCTTCCCTTTCCCCCCCCACCCCCCACCCCCTCTGGCACTCGTCTCCCCAGCAGGTGCGATGGAGAGAGGGGCCGAGTGGTGCCAAAGTTACGAGGAATGGAAACCTGGGCGATGTCCGGGTTTCAAAGGGAGGCGTTTTTTGTCTGTTTGTTTACGTGTTTTGTTTTTGTTTTTGTTCGTGTGTAGATGCTGGTCGGGGTTTGATTACGGGTTTTGTTGTTTTTGTTTGTTCGTTTGTCGATGACGGTCGGGGTTTCAGAGAGAGGCGTTTTTTGTTTGTTTTTTTGTTTTTTTTTTTGTTTTGTTAATGATCGTCGGGGTTTCAGAGAAGGGCTTTTTTCTGTGTGTTTGTTTTTGTTTGTTTTGTAGGTGCTGATCGGTGTTCGGCTTTGTGTTTTCACGTGCTTATATGATTGTTTTTATTTTTTATTTTGTTTGTATATGCTGGTCGGTGTTTCAGAGAGGTGTTTTGCTGTTTGTTTTTGTTTTTTGTTTTTGTTTGTAGATGCTTCAATTCTCATTGTGTTTTGTTTGTTTGTTTTTGTTTTCGTCTTTGTTTACGTTTTGTTTTATTTCTTTTTTGCTTTCGTTTTTATTTTGCTGGCGGATACATTCCAGATGCCTGACAACTCTAGAATATTTATATTTACTTATTTACTCTGAAATACAAAACTAAAACCAGACTTTATATAAGATAAAGTAAATGAGATTTAAAAAGATAAATTACATGGAAAGCAAAAGAAAAAAAAAAAAAAAACGCCAAGCCACAGCGTATATAGGCCTACATCGCCCGGCCATGCTGCCGTGTGGTGGAAAATCACCCTTCTGACATGCGCCGCCGCCTGCATGACGCCCGCTCTCCCCTCAACAACTCTCGTTCATGTGGCGGTCTCTTGCCAGTCATGCGTGCCTCGTGTGGGCGCGTGACATAGGCGGGGCGAGGAAGATTCAGGTGCGGGGGCGTGTGGAGTCGGGGCGTCCATCTTGGTTTTCGTCTCTGTTTCTCCGTTTCTCTCTTTGTCTGTTTCTTTGATGCTTCGTCTGTTGCTTTGATTCTCTTGTCTGTGTCTCTGCCTGTCCCTTCCCCTTCTCTCTGTCTCTCTCTCTCTCTCTCTCTCTCTCTCTCTCTCTCTCTCTCTCTCTCTCTCTCTCCTCTCTCTCTCTCTCTCTTCTCTCTCTCTCTCTCTCTCTTTCTCCTTTTTCTCTCTCACCGTGTCCCTTCCTGCCTCGTCTATCCCATTCCATCCTTATATATATTTTTTCATTCTTCGTTATCGATGGCGTTCGACTTACCCCCATCTTGAATCATCGTCTTTGAAAGCTGTCTTCCCCCGCTTTCCCTACCATTGCGCCCCTCTATTGAATCTGCCCTTCACTCCATTCCCACTCCTCATTACCCCTTCCCTTCCCCTCTTCTCTTTCTCCTCTTCCCTCTCCCTCTCCCTCTCCCTCTCTCTCCTCTCCTCCATCACCTTCCCCCTTCCTCTTCCTCTTTCCCATCTCCCTTCCCCTCTCTACCTCTCTCCCCCATCCCCCTCTCCCTTCCCTCTCCCCACCCCAGACACATCCGTTTCCCCTCTTGTCCCTTTTACGTCGGTCGACCGAGGCGGCGCTATCGGTGTCCCCGCCACTCACTGTCTTGTCGCTGATATGACCTCGTTGGCGGCGGATGTGGGGGTCCCGTGGTCGTCCTTAGGTGGGTGGGGGGGGTGATAAGGAAGGTGTTTGTGATGGTACGGTGTGGGGTGTGTAGGTGGGTGGGCGTGTGTGCGCGTAGTTGGGTGAGTGGGTAGGTGTGTTTGAGGGTGTACATGTTGCTGGCATGTGTATTAGTTAGAGTTTAAATAGATGAGTAAATAATTCCAGTACTCCTCTGGCTTGCTCTTTCTTTTGTTTACACTCTTCCTTTCTCTACATCTCTCTGCTCTCCTCTCTTTTCTCTTTTCTTTTCTTTCTTTTTCTTCCTCTCCCCCCCCCCCCTCTCTCTCTTCTCTCTCTCTCTCTCTCTCTCTCTCTCTTCTCTCTCTCTCTCTCTCTCTCTCTCTCTCTCTCTCTCTCTCTCTCTCTCTCCTCTCCATTCCCCCTCCCCCCGCTCTCTCTCCCTCCTACTCATCCCCACCTCCATTTCCCTTTCCACTACCCTGTTCCATCCTCTTAGGGAGTGAGTTGAGTGAACGAGTAAGGAACCGAGTAAGTGCACGCGCGTGAGTAGGGAGAAAAAGGGAGTCAGCTGATACACCCAAGACGCGTAAATATGACGAAGATAGCGACGATGATGCTGGCAGATGGGATGCCTTTGCGGGTTCTCTGGGAAAGAGGGGGGAGGGAGGGGGAGGAAGAGGAGGAGAGGGAGGGAGAGGGGGAGGAGAGGAGGAGAGGGGGAGGAAGAGGAGGAGGAGGGAGTAGGAGCAGGTGAAGGTGGAGGGGGAGGAAGAGGTGGTGGGAGGAGGAAGAGGAAGAACAAGAGAATGAGAGGAAGAGGGGGGTAGCGAGGATGCGGGTAAGGGATAACATGAATGACACTGATGATGATGAAGATAACATTGTCTTATCCCCGTAACATTAATGAGGGTTGAGTGTTGTTGGCGAAGTTTGTAATGAAAAGAAGATGGACGATGATAAGTATTGATGCAGTAATTAGGAAGACTTAACAACACCGGTGTTAACATTCTAAATCATTTCAGTGATGGCACTAATACTTTAAACGATAATAAAACGTGGTACTAGAAACCACCGTAGACTTAACGATCTTTAATGCCTCGTATAGTAGCGATAATGGCTACATTGACACGGAATAGCAACAACAATGGTGGGTCGGCGCCACCCCCCACACACACACACACCACCCCCCGCGAACAATGGGGGCTGGAGCGCGAAAATTTCCTCTTGTCACAACTCGACCAACATTCGCGCCGTCAAACTCGGGTATTGTTTGAAACCCCTTCAAGAATAATGGAAGAAAAATCTCTTATCGTGAGAGGGTGGTGAGGGAGGGGAGGGAGGGAGGACGGAAGGGGAAGGAAGTATTGGAAGTGGGGAGGGAAGGAGGAAGGGGTGAGGGAGAAGAAAGTTTGGAAGTGGGGAGGGAGGGAAGGAAGGAAGGAAAAAGGAGGAGTATTGGAAGGGGGATAAGGAGAGAGGAGTTGGTGGCAGTGGGGATGTTGGGAGGGGAATGAGTTTTGGAAGAAAGGGAGGGAGAGGGTTCTTTGGAAGGGGAGGAAGAGAGGAAAGAGCGTTGGAAGAGGGGAGAGAGGGAGGAGGAAGTATCATGAGGGAGGGAGGGGTGAGTGTTAGAAAGAGGGGAGAAATGAGTGAAAATTGGAAGGAGGGAGAGAAAGAGAAAGAAATGAATATTGGAAAGGAAAAGGAAAGGAGAAAATTAGAGTTGCAAAGCAGAGAGAAAGACCGAGCATTGGAAGAAAAGAGGAAGCAGGAAATACTAGAATTAGGGAAGAGATGAACGAAATTTGGAAGAAGCGTTCGAAGCGAGAGGGAAAAAAGGGAAGGAAGGATTAATAACACGTAAGGCATTTTATCTCCGTGTGTCTTGTGATAAAACCGAACGACGTTAAGTGTATAGAGAGATAAGTGTTTGTTGACGTGGCATTTTAAGTAAGTATCGGATTTTAACTTGGGGTTATGGTTCTCTGATGAGTGGGAGGGGAGGGGAGGGGGCTAGTGATGGGGTGGGGGAGGGGGAGGGAGAGTTTGTATGGGGTAGGGGGAGGGGGGAGGGGGGGGTGCTGGTGGTATGTGGAGGCTCGTGATAGATGAGTTACCAACACCGGACACTGGTCATTGTCGCGGTGGTATTGGGCGTGGCGGGGGTCCCTCTCTCACGCTCATGCACTTGCTCTTTCTCTTTTCTCTCTCCTCCCTCTCGTCTATCCTTCCCTCTTCTCTTCTCCTCTCTCTCTCTTCTCCTTCTTTTTCTCCCTTCTCTCTCTCTCCTCTCTCTCTCCTCTCTCTCCTCCTCTCTCTCTCCTCTCTCTCTCTCTTCCTCTCCTCTCTCTCTCCTCTTCTCCCTTTCTCTTCTCTCCTCTCCTCTCCTCTCTCTCTCTCTCTCTATCTCTCCTCTCTCTCTCCTCTCTCTTCTCTCTTTCCTCTGTCTCTCTTGTACCAACACACATACTCGGAAACCTCGGCCACCCTCGTCCTCAAACACTCGCCCTCGAACACCCGGACTTCTCACTCGTGGAAAGTAGCACTCTCCTGGCGCGGCGCGATGGCTCTCGAGAGGTGTCAGCAAAGAATCTCTCGAGCCACGTAGACTTGTTTGAGAACGACACTGTATTTGCTCAGCATGGTGTCAGTAGAGTGTGGTATTGTGACACTGACATGTGTGATAAGTCTGCAATATTTGAAATCGAGGTGGATTTTTTTGTTTATAAGTTAAGGGGGAATAACTGCAAGAACTTGTTAGTCTGTTTTTTTTTTTTCGGGGAGAGGAGAGAGAGAGAGAGAGAGAGAAGAGAGAGAGAGAGAGAGAGAGAGAGAGAGAGAGAGAGAGAGAGAGAGAGAGAGAGGAGAGAGAGAATTGAGGGGAAATAACTGCAAAAAAGTCAGTCAGTCAATTTAAACATGCACACGTTCACATATTTATCCATGCGTTTTATCACGAGTCAGCGAGTATGACGTTCTTTGTGCATGCATGTGTCTTGCGTGCTGGTTGTCAACAAAGAGTAAACTTATCTCTTAAATTACAAAGAGATAGATTTCCAGTATCCAACAGCACCGCATAAGCACAGCATTGTTCAGCAGCATGACCAGACGAAGCTATTCATTGGCCTTGGGGGAGTGCTTGGTCAACCGCAGCTCCCAGAGAACTGTGGCAAAGGTGTTACAGTAGCATGGTTTTGTGTCGTCGGTGTGACAGTAATGTGTGTGTGTGGGGGGGGGGGGATGGCTGGCTGTAATGGCTTATGCAGCGGGGGGCGGGAGGGAATGCTCGCGGTCTTTTCGCTCGCCGCCGTTCTTTCTCTTTCTCTTTATATTTCTCTTCCTCTCTCGTCTCTCTTTCTTTCTTTTCTATCTCGTTCTTTCTTTCTCTTTCTCTTTCTTTTTCCTTTCCTCTCTCTCTCTTTTTGCTCTCTTCTTTCTCTCTCTCCCTCTCTTCTTTCTCTTTCTTCTCTCTCATTCTTGGTTTTGTTCTCTCCTCACTCTCTTTTTTTCTGCCCTCACTTCTCTCGCTTTCCCCCTCCTGCTTTCTCTCCCTCTCTGTATGAGAGAGAGGAAGAGAGAGAGAGAGAGGGAGAGAGAGAGAGAGAGGAGGGAGTACTGTAAAGGCCTGTCACAGTCGTTCAATTTATCTCGAATCAGTGCAATGTATTTCCCATGGCGGTTAGTTAAGCCCGGTGTTTGTAATGACCGAAACCCGCTCCAGTTTTCGGCTTTCCCTCGTCGGGTTTTGTCCCATTTCACGAAACTTCCTGTCTTGTGCAGTAATGGTGAAGTTTCGTCGAGTTGATGTGTCTCGTCTTTGGGTTTACCACTTGGGGGCAGCGGTTGGCCGGCGGTCGAGGTGCTCTGGCGCTCCCTGGGAACTTCTGTTTATCTTTTTCTTTCTTTCTCTTTCTCTTTTCTTCCGCTTCTCTCTCCTCTCTCTCTCTCTCTCTCTCTCTCTCTCTCTCTCTCTCTCTCTCTCTCTCTCTCTCTCTCTCTCTCTCTCTCTCATTCTCTCTCTCTCTTCTCTCTCTCTCTCACTCTCTCTCTCTCATTCTCTCTCTCCCCTCTCTCCTCTCTCTCTCTCTCTCTCTCTCTCTCTCTCTGTCTCCTCTTTTCCCTTTCTCACCCTCTTTCTCCATTCTCCACTCTCTCCCCCTCTTTCTCCTTTCTCGCCCTCTCTCCCCTCTTTCTCCCTTTCTCCCCCTCTCTCTCCTTTCCTCCCCCTCTCTCCCCTCTCTCTCTCTTCCTCCCTCCCTCCCCTTTTTGTGTGTATGTGTGTGTGTGAGAGAGTCTCAGTCTCAATAACCTTATCAAAGTCAAAAGGTCTCTCCCTGACCGTCGCTCCATTCGTGTTGAGAATATTACCGTTCTCCGCTCTCCGTTCTCCGCTCTCCGTTCTCCGCTCTCCGTTCTCCGCTCTCCGTTCCCCGCTGAGGTTTGCAAAGTAGGTGAGCGCAAATCCGGCGCCTGAGGATGTGCATCGCGATTTGCTTGTGGTTCGCGGAGAGCAGCAGCGGCGAAGCCAGGTGGAGGAGCCGCAGCCGCCCTTGCTGTTGGGTGAACGGCGATCGTTATCAGGGTCTGATTTTCACGTTTCGTATCTTTTTTTTTTTTTTCTTTCTTTCCTTTTTCCTTTCTTTTGTTTGCCTTAGGTTTTCTCTTTCCCTCTCTCCAACCCTTCGCAAGTCTTTACCTCTTTTCGTTCTCTCCTTCCCTCCTCACCCTCCTCTTCTTTCTCTCTCTCCGTCCTCCTTTCCTCTCTCTCCCTCTCTCCCTCCTCCCTCATCATCTCCATCTCCATCTCTCACTTACATTCTTTACATCTCCTTATTCTTTTTTCTCTCTCCTTGTCCTTTTTTTCTCTCTCCCCTTGTCCCTTTTTTCTCTCTCCCTTGTCTCTTTTTTTCTCTCTCCCGCTCTTTCTTTTTGCTCGCACACCCGCCGCACTTGACACAAATCTCTGATGCACGAGACAGGTGGTGTGCTCGTGTGAACTGACCACCGTGCCGTCGAGTTCCGTGCGCGTGCGAGAGAGAGAGAGAGAGTATGTGTGTGTGTGTGTGTGAATGTACATGTATGTGTATGTGTATGTGTGTACATGCATTGTGTGTGTGTGTGTGTGTGTGTGTGTGTGTGTGTGTGTGTGTGTGTGTGTGTGTGTGTGTGTGTGTGTGTGTGTGTGTGTGTGTGCGTGTGCGTGTATATATGTGTATGCGTGTGTACATATGTGTATGCGCGTGTGTGTGGCTGTGAGAACCAGGTTACCAAGGCACTTCTGTCCGTCTGGTGATGCGCTGTTTTGGATTCGCCATCTCTTGCTTACGGGAGAAAACATTGCGCTCTTAATAAGGGTTTGTTTGGTATAGAGCTTGTGTGCTGGGGTGGTGGGGGGGTTGTGGCTTTGCGTTTTTATTTTTATTTATTTATTTGTTTATTTGTTTATTTTTGATAATAAATGTATTTTGTCGTGTGTACGAGCTATACCTTTTTTTGTTCTCTTCCTCCTTCTACTTCCTTCCTCCTTCCTCTGCCTCATTCACCCCTCTATTCCATCCTCTTTCTCCCTCCCCTCCTCTTCCTCCCATTCCTTCCTTCCTCTCCTCATCCTCCCCTTCCCCCCTACCCCTCCCGTTCTCCTTCCTCCTCCTTTCTCTTCACCCTCCTCCTCCTCATTTCCCCCTCCCCTAAGTCATCTTGGTGGGGAGGGGGAGGGGGAGGGGGTAGGAAGGGGATGCATATGTAGTGAAAGAAATGTAGGTTGGTGTCCATTTTGGTCGCGCTTCGGAGTAGGTTCTGTTGAAGCGCAAATGTTATTTGTTACACGTTACCCGTGGCAGTAGGAAGCGGTTGTTGTTTTTTGTTTTTTTTTTATTATTGTTATTATTTTATTGATATTGATATTATTTCCCGATTGTGAAGATGCGCGGTGTAGGATCATGAACATACCATTTTGAACAGGGATGGAGTTAGTTAAGTGTTGAATATACACACTCACTCTTACACGCGCACACACACACAAACACACACACGCACACACACACACACACACACACACACACACACACACACACACACACACACACACACACACACACACACACACACACACACACACACACACACACACACACACACACACACACACACACACACACACAACACACACACACACACACAACACACATTTACACACACACACATTCACTTACACACACGTACACTCATTCAATTACTCCCTCACACTCACACACGCTCGCATATACTCTTATCTATCTATCCATACAATATTTTCCCCGTAGCCTATTTCACATTCCCTACTGTAATCTCTATCAGCTGTATGCCGATAGCACTGATTAAAGGCCGATAGCAGAATGGACCAGCCTTCTTATCAGTCTTCCTGTATTAGTTTATACACCTTCATTGGCGTCGTGATTAAGATAAAGACTGAGATTTGTCATACATTTGATATTATCGTCATTGAAATTTGTCATAATCGTCATTGAGATTTGTCATAATCTCGTTGAGATTTGTCATAATCGTCATTGAGTCATAATCGTCATTGAGATTTGTCATAATCGTCATTGAGATTTGTCATAATCGTCATTGAGATTTGTCATAATCGTCATTGAGATTTGTCATAATCGTCATTGAGATTTGTCATTAGATTTGTCAGATTTTTGTCATTCGTCATTGAGATTTGTCATTATGACAAATCTCAATGACGATTATCTTCATTGAGATGTCATAATCTTCGTGAGATTTGTCATAATCGTCATTGAGATTTGTCATAATTGTCATTGAAATTTCTTATTACCGTCATTGAAATTTCTTATTACCGTCATTAAAGTTTATTATCATCGTCACTGAAATTTGTTATTACCGTCTTTGAGATTTCTTATAATCGTCATTGCTGTTCTTCGTTGTTGTTGCATTTGGGCAATTTTGCATTCGGTCTCCAGGGTCAGTAGTTTGTAGTTTGAAGTTAAGTCAATAGTAAGTAGTTAGTTAAATCAGTAGTAAGTAGTTAGTTAAATCATTAGTTAGTAGTTAGTTAAATCAGTAGTTAGTTATGTCAATAGTTAGTAGTTAGTTAAATCAGTAGTTAGTTATGTCAATAGTTAGTAGTTAGTTATGTTAGTAGTCATGTCAGTAGTTGGTCGTTATCTTATTCTCCATTAATAAATCTTCATTAATAAGCCGTGCGTAGGTGGGCCTTGAAATCCGACCCCGTTATCGTGCCGTCGAACCCCGTTAGTCTGACTCAGGATGTTTACAGTCATTACTCGAGACAAGACGAGTTTCCGGTGATACTAGGCTGGGGCTCCTCGGCTGAGACAGGCCAAGGGGGAAGGGGTAGATAGACGGACGGACGGATAGACAGATAGATAAAGAGAGAGAGAGGGAGGGAGAGAATGAATGAATGAATGAATGAATGTCTCCATCCTTCTCTACACGGCCTTCGATATCTCGTAATTTCCCCCATTTTTCTTTCCTTTTTTTCTCTCCTCTTCTTTCTTCTCTTTTTACCCCCCCCCCTCTTCTTTTTACCCCTCCTCCTCCTTCTTTCTCCTTCCCCCTTTCTCTTCTCCTTTCCTCTCTCCCTCTCCTCCCCCTCCTCTTCTTTCTCCTCCCCCTCCTCTTCTTTCTCCTCCCCCCTCTTCTGCTCCCTTCTTTCTCCTCCTGCTTTCTCCTCCCCCTCCTCTTCTTTTCTCCTCCCTCCTCTTCTCTTCTCCTCCTCCTCTCTTTCTTCTCCTCCTCCTCTTCTTTCTCCTCCTCTCCTCCTTCTTTCTCCCCCCTCCTCTTCTTTCTCCTCCTCCTCCTCCTCCTCCTCCTCCTCCTTCTTCGAACCCTTCTTCGTTACCTTCGCCTGGATGATGACGTCATTATGTCCTCGGAAACAGCCCAGTATACGTCAGCTGATTGGTCTTATTATGTTTTCTCTCCTCCTTGCTTCTCCCCCGTTTCTTGGTTATAC